GGGGCGCGTACTAGAGATGGACCACCATCTTCACTAAATTAAATAATCCCTACGCCTTAAAATGTTCAAAACTTTGCAGTGAAACCACTCGCTTACTCTACTTTCAGACTGTGTATATTTGGTCTTTTTTCAGTTCCCTTTGCAGTGACAAACTACCCTTCTGTGGCTTTAAATCCAATTTTTCACTAATAAAACTTTGCTTTGACTTAACTTTGACCCTCTTTTTAAAAGGCCCCCTCTCCCCTACCCTTTTTGTTCTTCACTGATAAATGATAGGCTGTTAAATCAATCACGAATATAAAACTTCATTCGGACTGATGGTTTTTTCACATTTTGGAAGGTCGGATTTGTTTTTGACCTTCGGCTGCATGAAGTTCAACTTCCTCTATTGAGCTTTTCCAGTTTGCATTTTAGTTCTTTATGGAGAGCTGATACATTTCTATGGTCTATTTAAAATAACAATTATTCCACGAGCGCGCGTTGGATATGAGATGGTAAATAGCCAACGAGGCGCATAGCGCCGAGTTGACTATAATCATCTCATATCCAACAAGCGCGAGTGGAATAATTGTTTTTTTGAAAACGCCCACAAAATCTCGTTGAATCTCCCCGACTTAATTTTGTTACAACAAACCGAAAAAGACAAGGGACCTCCGCTATTCACATGTCACACGTCTATCAAAACTGTCAACGCGCGAACGGACTCGCCTGGACTGGATGCATGAAAAATCAAAACATTGTAGCGATGAACACTTTTAAAAACTCATCGAGATTCTAGGATTTTACATAGCAGGACAGCTAAAAAAACCTGGCAGATAATGTGAAGAAAAAGAATTTTTAAGTAACAGCCGTCGAAATTACTATGAATTTGGATTTTCGGTGCAGTTACAAAAGTAAGAACAATGGAGAAAAACTATTACCTCGGTCGCTTGTTATGAAGTTGTTTGAAGCCAACAGCTGGTTTTGCTGAACGAGAAAAGAAGCTATACTGACGCCTCGATTGCTGTAGTGAATGGCTGCATAGCCTGTATTCTGGTTGCTTGTGATTTATATTCTTCGTGTCGGATAAACAAGCCGCAGTTATCTATCGGCGAGTGACTCGGAGAGTGGCCTCGTAATCATGAAGAAACAACACTTGTCTTTCTTTCTTCTTTCTTTTTTTTAGTTCCATGTATTTTCATGTGTTTTTCGATAAGCTTTCAAACAAGCTCTTGTAGCTTTTGTTTGTTTGTTATTTTCCCGATGAAATTGCACTTTCTAGTATTCTAAGAGGTTAATTAAAACGATTTGCTTCGGGCGCCATTATATCCTTCGCGGAAAAAAAATCTCAGCTAGCTTCCAATCTGAAACTGACGCGTACACCGACCATATATGGAGAGCATGGTATAATGGCTCATATACCATAATGGCTAAGCCAATCAAAATGCTAGAACTGCATTATCAAATGATTCAGTTCTTAATAAAAGAGTGCAGACCATGGAAAATTGTGGTCGATTTGTTTTTTCCAATAACATTTATTTTTTTACGAAAAACCAAGAACAACAAGACGCTACGGAGCGTACACTTCGGCGTCGTGGTTGTGGAACTAATTAATTGTTAATTCGGAGGAATAGTAAGAAATCAAATATGGTAAGAGTAAGGTGTTAATTTGTGAAATTATGGGATTTGTCAGGATATTCTGAAAAGAGCAACATCCAAGAGGCCTACTTGCCAAAAACTAGCATTTCGTGACAAATTGTCTCCGAGAAATTAACCCAGTTATGCTCTGATGACTCCATACAAATCCTTCTAAAAAAACAATTCTCTATTTTTCTTAGTCACATCAGGCTTCAAAAACAGCATAGCGGTCTCATGTACTGATTAAAGATATGTAAGGCATGGCTAAGGAATCAATTACGTTGAGCATGGAATTGGCTAAAACTCAAAGTCACCAGTTCGAATGTTTTGAGGATAATTATTCACTGACTATCAGCACGCAGGGATGTCGGATTAACACAAGGAAGTTTAACACCAAAGGAACATAGCCTTTACAGAGCTTTAAAACACAGCATCCACCAACTCAAACTTGACTTGAACTTTGAGTAAAACTAAACAGCCTCTACCAATAATATCAAACCCTCACTTGAACTTCAGATATCTTACGGCTTCCGCGAACTTGTAAACTCGACCTTCGTCACACTTGACTAAACACAGCAGTCCAGCTCGTGGGAAAAAACTTAGTTCGTCAAAACAACTCACTTGGAACTTGTATACCGTTTGACATAAAGTTCTAGAAAATACTAAACAGGCGAATAGTTGTAGCTTTTCGACATATTTTATGATTTCAGTAACTGATGCAAATCTGCTGACTCATGCTGAAATGTAAACATGCCCTAATTAATTATTCATGGTAATCCAAAAACGTAGAGAACATTCGAGAAAGTCACGCAACGCATGAGAGCAATTTTACCACGTAACTCTCAACAAAGACAAAATGTCTTTGTGCAGCATATGTAACTTTAAATTCATCATAAAACAGTTCGAAACGAGGGCTCACTCGTGAAATGTTTTTCAACACTCGAAGAGAAATTTCGCGCCTGCGCGGCCACGAAATATCCTCTATTTATTCCTCGAGTAATTAAAGACTAAACTCGAAGTGATCTCAAGATATCACGAATTAATCCGGTCTCATTTCGGGAAATAGTTGAAACAAGCCGAAAAGTCACGAACTTGCACGCCCAATCTTGTCCCGAAACTAGTGCATCATTTCATAACTATTTTTCGTATCCCAAACTACCTTGGGTCGCAGTAGCGCAATCGGCTAATCCCCCAACTTAGAGTCTCCTCTGATCCGACGGGTCACACAGGTGAGTCGGTTCAAACCCCGGGAAAGCCAAAATAATAATTCTTTCTTCCTCAAAAAAGTTAAAGAATAAATCAAAGAAATCGAAGTGATCTCGAGATATCTCGAACTAATTCGGCTCTCACTTCGTCAAATAGCCGGATAGAACCGAAAACCTACAGACTTTGCTTGCCCAATCTTGTCAAAAAATTGCAACTTTGATACATTCCTGAGCGTCGCGAATCCTTTACTTCGCGCTCCGCCGAAGTAAAAATACCGGCATTGCGTGACATGTTACGTCATTTATGGTCTATACTCTCATAGACCATAGCTGTCGACCAATCAGCGCGCGAGGATTCGCTCAGTTATCGTCAAATACGTAATGACAACATACAAACAAAGGGAACGTTTCAAGTTAAAGTGGTTGTTACAAGGATAGCATAAGATTTACGATTAACCTGCTGATATAAATTAGGCTAAGTCATTTGATACGCATTGACGCCTTTCGTTTAACCTAAGAACAGGAGACTGCTGAGTCTAAAATAAAAAACCATTTCAGAATACAGGACGAACAACAATACTCCGAATCCTGTTGATGTTTTAAACGTGTGGAAATTTATCAAACGAAAGGTGCTCGCGTGTGTGAAAACTGTCGCCTTGTCTCACCAACGTCGTAGTAAGAACTACTGCTTGCAGCTTTAAACGTATAAGCTACCCACGTGGGAGACCCCTACGGGAAAAGGTCTTTCACGTTAAAGAAACTCCGTACAATGTACATTGAATGTATTGAAAACAAGTTTGATGTTGATGGGCCACGAAAAACGGCAGGAGTGTTGGCGGAAAGTTTATTGTATAACGATCATTGCACGCGGCGTATTAAGTTTTCAAAGTGAATCGTATCTATCAAAAGAACGTCAATGTATCAGTTTGGGGAAAGCAACAGACCGCAAAGTCCTCCTAAGCTTCGTGTTCTTTCCTAGCTGGTCCCGTTACACGTCATCAGTGGCCATCCATCGAAAGAGTCAACATAACAAACCTTCCTTTAAAGTTGGACAATCCTTGAACCATTTTTTACATTGCCGGCCTCTTAAGACGTGCCTTCCCTCATACAGGATTTTGCGAACAAATCTAATGATCTGTTCACCCAGTTCCAACCATTTGGTACTTTGTCGACAGGGAAAATGCGATGCCAGTAAACAGTGACGGTATGGGAATCAGGATCAAAGTTTGCCAAAATACTAGCTGCCTTGATGTCCAACGTTTCTTTGATGAGAACTCCATGAAACATTACAAAACTGTGCAAATGTACGGATCTTAGCACAGTATGAAGGTTGCGCTGCGGACAAGTTAATATACAGATACCGCGCCCGCAAGATTCTGCTGGACCAAGCACATTGAATAGAGCAGTAATAACACATAACCATTTGTCTGGTTTACGTTGACAATCTGCTTTTACTGGCGAGCTGGACAGTAGCTGCAAAGGTTGGCATTCCTTATTTGCTTCAAGAATGGAGTTACAGACGAAAGAATGAACATCTCTTGCAGTGTCAGAGCACTGCTTGCTACAGTACCTTGCAACAAGGCAACTGGAACATTCGGTAAAATCACCAACTGGCTGTAGATCTTTCCAACACCCAGAGCATCTGTCACGCGGTTCCCAAAGGAGAACATCAGGAACATCCAAAACTCTGTTGTCAAGAAGCAAGGGGCTCTTGAATTCATCGGCGTATTCTAACATCTCCGTTTTCGCTAGTTGAAGGAAATTACTTAAGTGAAGTATACTGGACGATTCCTCGGGACTTGTGAACATCTCTTTACATTGCAAATCCAATGAGCAAATTTCTTTGGCAATAGCGGGAAAAACATCTGGACCAAGATTTTTCGTAAACTCGCATTTCTCAACCAAAACATTTCCTTTGCCATTTAATATGACACGAAGTCCTCCACAGCAATTATTTCTAAACGTTGTTTGTTTGCAAATTAAGTTGCTTCCAACACAAACGACGATTCCCCAACCAGACTGTTCAGAAATAACGTTTTCTTCTACCGTCGCGTTTGATCCTTTCAACAAAATGCCACACCGAGAACCACTCAATGAATTTCTCAATAATCCTCCATTACAACGTCCGGCGGCCACAATACCACCAAGCAAGTTATCAGATATCAAATTATTTTCCATCTAAGAAAGTGCTGGGGTAAACATTAAAATACCACACGTATTGCTGCGTAGTTTACTGTCACAAATACTTATGTGGGAATCAGCTGTTCCTCCTCGAATAAAGATCCCAGGCCCACTACTCATTTGAATTACAGTAGACCTCACTGAAACAATTACTTGCTGACGGTGATGTCCCTCCACCAATAACCCTACACCATTTGAAAAATCGCGAGAACAGTGATCCATGACCAATGATTCAACGTCATAAGCCTCTATCAGAGCGTTAAGTTCGCCTTCACTGCCGGCCGTCACTTGCTTCTTAATAAGGTATGATTTTCCTAACGTTATTGAAAGTAGCTTTTCTCTCTCTGCAGTACTACCGGCCGCTTCAGACGACAACGGTTGATCACGGTTTGCTGAGGGCACAGAATTCTCAAAATGAACATTTTCAAATAGAAAAGACACATCTGACAAAAACAAACCTTCCCTGAAACTAAGCACAGCGGAACCTCCAGGAAGACAGACAAAATAATAACATCGGTCCGATAAAACAATCTTATTCAAATCAAATTTCCTTTCTGCTAGAATGACTGTAAATGAATCATCTGAATTTCGTTCTTCAGAGAGCTGACTCTCTAGTTCCTTGAGCTGGTTAACATTGGTAACAAACTTGTTGTTGATTCTATCAAGTAATCCTGAAACTTTCTGAAATTTATGTTGCAGTTTTCGAATATCACCTGCTTTGGAATTTGCAAATTTGTAATGAAGTACTGCTGCTGCCGCTTGGGCTCTGCTGGTGAACTCAGTTCTACCACTTTCAACGAGTTTGCAAAGTGCGTATGTCTTCCAGTAGTAACCACGATATAGCTCAGTGTCTGCGTAAATAGAAGCATTGAAGTCTTCCAAAGCTGTCTCAACGTTTTTCAATTGCATATTCGCAATACCACGGTTACAAAAAATTGTTCCAAGAGGACGAACGCAAGGTTGATTTACCGCAACTGGTAGGTTAACAATCTCAGTGTACAAATCAGACGAGGCTTGATAATCGCCCCTGGAGAAAGCTTCTCTCGCCTTTGGTTCTATCATTTCAATCCCTTGTAACAATTCGCTGTTTTGAGTGGTGCCTATGTTGACACCCGTTCTGCCGATGACATTTTCAGTCGTTTCTTCTGACGGAGATGTTAACTTTAATGCAAGAAGACTAGGGTCATAACGGGGCCTTAGGACTCTCGCTACGTTCATTAGTTCATCCCCTTTGTAAAAACAAATGGACTTTTTCACTGCGCACAAAATGTCGAACACTTGTTGTTGTAAGCGGTATCCTTCACTGTTCATGCCCAAAAAATAGCAATAGAAGGCTGCTTCGCAAAATATCCTGGCAGTTTCCTCATGGAGTAGGTAATCATGCTTCAAGCATGAATTTGCCAAGAGATGAAGAATAAGGTGAAGAGCGTTCGCGGAGAGCGTTTTCCATCGTCGAACCTCCAAATTGGCCTCGATAATATTTGCGCTACACTGCTGGACAAGATACTTGCCACTCCACCCTGTCTTATCTTTCAGAGACTTCACTGTCGCATCCACATCGACAAGGAATTCTGTGCCCCCAATACAGTCGAGAAATGCATGGTGCAACATTCGTACGGCAGAGGAAAAAGCCTTTTCAGTTTCGCCTTTATTACTATAACGCTCTTTCAAAGTCTCTTGAACAAGTCGATGGATACTCAAGCTATCATCTGACTTGCGTTTGAAAAGTGAAAACCTAAGCAACAAATCAACAATTTGTTCTGCACCGATTGGCAGTTTCAAGCGGTCCTTCAGGTATTTATGTTCAATCTCTGGGGCGCCCACATTTAAAACCTCAATGGGTATCTCATCTGGGGACAGATATGTGGCAATTTTCATGAAGAAAGCCGCCGCCTTTCCAATCCTTTCATCCGTTTCGTCATTTTCTATATAACTGAAATTCATACACCATGTTGTTTGTACTGCCAGGCGTGCCTCACTGTAGACCTCTGAGCATGGTTTGGCGCTTTTCCTATTCAAAAGAATCGACTTTTGTTTACGATACTGCTCAAGGTACGACTGAGCCGAGCACTTTAACACACTGACGTAAGCAGCAGCTAAACCTAAGGCCAACGGTAATCCATCGAGCTCCTGAGCAAGTTCTTTCACTCCTTCCTCTTGATTTTCAAAAGCGGATGCTAATCTGGTGCGTTTCTTTAGGAATTCAATAGATTGGTCGACAGAAAAAGCATCCAGCTCAAGACAGTTTTCAGGACGAAGATCTAGGTCCTCACACACCGCTTGAGGACTTCTACGAGAAGTGACAAGAATGTCCCCTAAAGTTTTGTTTTTCCACTGACCCAAAAACATTTTTCGTGTGTAGGAGCTAAGTTTCTTTTGATCCATACTGTCTACAAGCAAAAGCCACTTGTGCCTCAGACTGCCAAGCCAAGAAAGAGTTTCCGTCATTAGATGATCAAACTGTTTCGCTTCTTCACGCCTGTTGGGCTGGGACTTGTACACGAATTGTCCATGGATTCCTTGAAAAGATGCTCGCAACAGTTCGTCACTTTCTCCATTTATACCGTAAACCCCTCCGGAGTAACGTTCCAGGTTGCGCCAAGCATATTCGAAGGCAAGAGACGACTTCCCGCAGCCTCCGAGTCCACAAATACCATGAACTTTAGCCTTTCTCTTACCGCTTCCAAGACCAGCTCCTTTAGTGCTAACTTCTTCAAAAGCTTTTTCCAATGATTCCAACTCTTTTTTCCGGCCTGTAAAATACTCATTTCTGTCCAACGCTCCAAAGAACGATGGAGGGTTGACACTTTCTTGACGACTGGCTAGTCTGCAACTAAGATCTTCGAACTTTTGTTCCAAGGTTTCCACCTTGTGTTCTACTTGTTCAACTTTTTGTTGGAGGTTTTGCTGCACCTCGCAGAGCTGTGATTTTAACAGGTCGCTCTGCTCTTTGTACTGGCAAACAAAATGATCCAAATTGCAGGAAAGTTGCAACACTTCATTTTGAACCAAGCTTAATAGGGACGGATCTACTGGGGAGTTACCACAGAATGTTACACCTGTAAACAGAACATTTTCACAACTTAAATAACGTTACTTAAAAGATAAAAAGTGGTATTTAGTTTTACAATCCTAAATGTGCCCAGTGTTTAAATTATTTGCCTAAGCCATCCATACGGCATGAGGAATTCTCAGATGACTTCTCGTTTCAAAAGTTATTTCATTTTAGCAGTCTTCAAGCAATGAATACTTTTCATAGTTATTAGTCAACCACTTAAAAACCAGGACATTCATCGACCTAGAAATAACTAAAAATCCTATCAAATGTGTTTAACCCCCTAAAAATAGTTTTATTATCATAAAATTTCCCGTTATTAATGGGATAGACACTAGACTATGACGTCATCGGCTTCACAACCCGTGCCTACTATACTAACTCAATCCCGAAGTCACACAAAAGGTTCCAGACGGCGTAACGAACCTAAATTCCTTTTTCAATTAAGTACAGTTGACTCCCGATAACTCGAACCCTCGCTAACTCGAACCTCGCGCTAACTCGAACCAAAATCGATTTCCCCTGGATTTCCGTCATACATTTGCTGTAATTTTACCCTCGGTAACTCGAACCCTCGATAACTCGAAACTCCCGCTAACTCGAAGTAATTTTTGTTTCCCCTCAGATCATTTCAATATAATTTTACCCTCGATAACTCGAACCATGTTTTGAGCCCTTAAAAAGTCGGGAAAAAAGAGTGTACTGCCTCCGAAACATTGAGTTTTGAATTTCTCATTGACGTGTTGTAGGCATATACCGTAAAATTCCGAAAATAAGCCCCGGGGCTTATATTTTTCAAAGGCCCTTTCTGAGGGGCTTATTTTGGAGGGGCTTCTATTCGGAGGGGCTTATCTACGGAGGGAAATTTGCGTTTCAACTCGATAGGGCTAGCCTTATAGCCTTGTATTTGAGGGCAATTTTCCAAGTACAAGCCCCTGGGGGGCTTATATTTGGAGGGGCGATTTAACGGAGAATTTTTTGCGTTACCGGTTTGGGGGGCTTATATTTGGAGGGGCTTATACATGGAGGGGCTTATTTTCGGAATTTTACGGTAGTTTACTAGTGGATCGATAGTGGAGGCGGATGTTGTTTGCCACAAATCTAACGTGAAATAGCTTTACTTCTCAAAAAGTAAAATGCATGCTCTATTTAGGCAACGTTTTGTTACTTTACAGTCTGATTTATAATCTAAGAGTATCTTTCAATTTCCCTCAACATTTTTACAATTATATGTGATTAGAATACTCACTGTGCAGTAAAAACTGTTTTTTTCCTTACTCCCGGCTATTTTCTTCGAGCTCCCGATAACTCGAACCTTTTTCGATTTCCCTTGAAGGTTCGAGTTATCGGGAGTCGACTGTACATGAAAAAATCGACGTTTGAATCACTTAGGTCCAACATGTCTTACTTGGGTTGGGTGGCCAACATGGGAATTTCGACTGTAGATCGCTTTATCAGTTACCTGTCATCTCTTCTTGCTCCTCGCCGCTAGGGAGGTTTCGGCGAAAACAGGGAGGAGAGACGGTTGTATTCGCAGGTTATTTAATGCCGAAGCAATGCATAAACAACTAATTCATTTTGACTTGCAAGCATTGTACATCCTGATTATGAATTGAATTCGGTTCCTATATCTTAAGAATTAATATGTAGATTTCGGAGGGTGTTATCAACCTCCTTTCTCGATCTCCCGCGTAATTCTTCAAATCATGCAAAGGCTTTTTCAATAATTGCGAGTTATTTTTAGTCCGGGATTAGCTCGGACGTCTGCCAACCCGATCATGATCTTGTATAGTAACTTTTAATAGGTCTGGTTTTGGTGAACCAAATTTTATTTTATTTGGGTCGACCTAAATAAAGTTAAGATCGTCTGTTGGGTCATACGTCGACTTTAGGACCAAACCAACCAACTGAATAAGACCAAAATGTAACTTTAATAATTTTTTTCCCGAACGAGGCTAAATACACATTATCATACAAATCTACCTGAAGTTTTGAAAACCGGGTTGCCTGAAATCTTAAGTCAAGTCCAGCAGATTGCCGTTGAGCCGGCTAATTTGTTTTGAAGGGGGGCTTCCGTCAAACTAAGTGTCATGTTGTTGGACAGCCACAGGGCTATCATCTGGTATGCATTTGGGATAGACCAATTAAATTCCAGGGGACGTGTTTTTGTAGCCCGGTTTTCAAAAAAACAGGTATAAATTTTTAATTTATCAGTTTAATTGGTCGCATGTAATAATAATAATAATAGTAATAATAATAATAATAATAATAACAATAATTAAGAATATATATTGCGCAGTTTTCATGACGAGATGATCAACTGCGTATTACAACAATACATAGAATAAAAGTAACTAAATGATAAATAAGAATTACACCATGTGTTGTGTATAATATCAAAAAACCTAACTAAGAATAAAAAGCCTTACTAAAAGGTACGTCTTTAAAAGTTTTGCCAAAAACAAATAAAAATTACATAGTTGTGTATATAGCTATTAAGTAATCATAACTAAGAATGAAAAACCTTCCCAAGAAGGTGCGTCTTTATACATTTTGTAAAAGTGTCAACAGATTTGGCCATTCTAATTTCCAGAAGTAAATCGTTTCAGAGTTTAAGCGCCGAACCGACGAAAGCACGGTCGCCTAGTGTTGTTGAAGTTTTAAAATTCGGGTGAGAGAGCAGTATTTCGTCGTTAGATCGCAGTTTATCTCTTGAGTTTAAAGAATTAATTTTAACAAGATCATTGATATAGGACAGCGCTAATTCATGAATGGCTTTGAAAGTTAATAGTAAAATCTTAAAATTAATGAAATGAGACAGGAAGCCAATGCAGCTGATGGAGCACTGGGGTAAAATGGCGAAGATCGACGTTTGTCCCGGAGACGATCTTCAGACGTTCTATCCGTCTTAAGGAGACAGATTGGACGATCTAAACTCATTCGAACGAACTTAACTGAACCAGACGTCGACCTTAACTTTTCATGAACTTAACTAAGTTTGGTTTGTCTCGTGAAAAATTGGACGTTTGGCCTAGGCCTAACTGAGCCAGACGTCGACCTTTCCATTAAACTAAGTAAGTTTGGTTCGTCTCATGAAAAGATGGTTATATAGCTGAAGCAAACTGCCATAAATTTCATACATAAAGTAACCTAATCGAACTCCTAAGGCTATGTCAACACTCCGTACCTGATAGCATATCACGTGAAAATGAACAATAATCAAGCTAGGTATGAATACCTGTTCGCACTGTCACAAGGGTAAGGGAGCACAGACGCCCATTCGAAACATGACGATCCATTTTAAGATCGGCGTACATAGTCTAAAGTTACCTTCGGTTTCCTTGGCAGTTGACGTCGTGACCATCTCTCAGCCATGCCCAATATTGCTCAGTGAGCCAACACCCAAAACGTGTACCAAGTATAATTGGTTGGTAACAGAACAAAATTGTCGATGGATACTCCCTACAAGGTATTCGTCAACAGCTGAAAAAAGTCATGGGAGAACCAGGAGCCCATCACTCATAGGCTCCTGGGAGATCAACACAGAAATTCTCATAAACAAAACAAGGACTTCCGTCATCTTCAGAGTAACTGTTAATAACAATTTGCCTTAAATTTGTGCATCATTTAAGAGCGGGCGAATCTTGTGTTATTAATTGCAACCCGAGCAGGCAAGATGGGTTTATCTAGATTTCCCGCGTCGGTAACGCAAGAAAAAGGGTCTCTTTTTGGCTATATAATAGATCGTTCATTGACCAAGCTTAATCGGTTAAGATCGCTCCATATTGGTCTCTTTTTTGTGTGTTTTCATAGACCTTGACTTCGACATGGTCCATAAAAACGCGAAAAAATAACTTAGCTAACATCCAGCCAGCCGAACAAGCTTGGTCAATAACGCGAGTCTATAGGTAACAAATCTGCGTTGTGTAAGCAACTTTTGGGTTATAAAACAATCACAGAGGCAAAAATATAAAAGATGATTGGGCAGAAAATACTAAGTAATGATTACATACAAACAAAGGGAATATTACAAATTACAAGGTGTTTGATACGCATAGACTACTTTAGTTTAACCTACCAACGAGTGACTGCTGAGTACAAAATATAAAATCAGCCTAGAATACAGGCGACAATACTCCGAACCCTGTTAATGTTTAAAAACTGTGAAGGTTTATCAGACGCAAGGAGCTCGCATGTGTGAAAAGGTCGCCTCGTCTTATCAACGTAGCAAGAATTGCATCTTGCATCGTTTTACTTATAAGCTACGCACGTGCGAAGCCCCTTCGGGAAAAGGTCTTTCACGTTGAAGAAGTTTCTTATACTGAATGTAGAGAAAACAGGTTTGATGTTAGAGAGTTTTTAAACTCTCTAACAACGAACCTTAAAAGAGCTT